ATAATATGCTGTTCATGCTGTAGTTCTCCTTCAATTACAACGTCATTGTAGTGTTATTGCTTCTAACAATAGGAAGGATAACTCCGAATAGCCGATCCCTCACTCTCCTCTTGCATTGTCCGGCAACCCTGCCAGATTGAGTCTCGAAGGGTGGTTCCAGTCATCGAGTACCCTAACCAGCCTCTCCCGGGATAATTCCAATGCCTGCTCGAAAAAGCGCAGCCGAGACAGCTGCTTGTCGTGGCGAACCTGAAGTCCATCTCTCTCTTTTCTCAGGTGCGTACCAGCCTCCTTCAAAGCAAGGTTGTCCTGCTCTAGCTTTTGGCCATCGATGTGCTTGGACACGCACGACTCCCATAGGCGTCGATAGAGTCCAACAAGTCGAGCTGCTGGAAAGGCGAACTTGGGATCATCGCGCTCGAGGTCTGCTAGAACCTGCAAGATCCGTTGAAATGGCTCGGTCGCCAGGGTGTGTCTTGTTTCTGCTTCCTGCTGCGAAGGGGAGGGCTGCAATGGTCAGCAAAAGCATTTGAAGCCGAATCGTCATACATACCAATGGGACATGGTCGGAACTTTCCTGTGATTTGTCTTTCTCGCTAAGGGTTGGCAATTCACTGGGCGGCTGATCTCCTCCAATTTCCTGGTCTTTCGAGCTGATTTGTGCATCCATCTTGTCCGCAGGAGAAAGTCACGGCTCTGGACAATACCATTTCCATCGATCCTTGGTGTCTCTTATAGAATATGCAGACGCCGGTGTTTATGGGCTGTGTTTTACAATCACCACAACGGTCAACCGAAGCAGTCAAATTCTGACTGGAATTGTTTTACTTTTCAGCGGGCTGTTGACAGTCAACTTGATCATAGGATAGTGATCAACGAGTCGGTCAGGGAAATCTGATCAAGCCTCACGATGTTGAGGGTCAGATATGAGCGCTCATCGAGGAGATATATATTTCAATCGGACACCTCTTTCCACCTTCGTTGAAAGTCTCAGAAAGTCGACAAACGGAACATTGTAGAACTTACAGTAACCTAAAAAAGAAGGACAAAAAAGAAAGCGAAAAAAAACTTAATGTATCTTCATGGTCACAAGTTCGAAAATTGAGTGTTGACAACGTTGGGCCAAGCTTCAACGGGTCGAGCACATCCTACTGTGACCTCGCTTTCCGCAGTCTAGTCGGACAGACCCACAGCTCAACACAACCAACACCACACTAAAGCGAGGCTAGGGAAAAAAATCCATGACTTCTCGGGATGAAATTGTAGGCCTTTTTCAGTGATTCAACGTTGAATCGCTCACAGATGAGGTATCAGCACAAGAATCATGAGCCTGTGATTGCGGATGGAATATCTCCCACAAAATCTCAATTTAAGAGGGCCGTGAAGGATTCAGCAGTGAGCCAACGTTTCTTGGCCTACCCAGCATCCCTTTTTCTGAACAACACTCGTCTCTCTCACTGAGCTAAAGGCATAAAAATTGTCGCTGCATGTCGCTGCAAATATTTGCGGTAAAAGAAGAAATGGGTTTCAACAGGCCTCAATTAAGAGAGTTGTCCCTCAACGCGTTCTACCAAGCAGAGCACTTGCGCAACAGAAGGAGCCGAGAAGCCTATAAATACGTCCTCTACCCCCGGCAATTTGCTCTACATTTTATTCACTTGACTCTGCAAAATCGAGCAGGCTTGTGTCTGAGCCACTCGATAAGTTCTTCCCCATTGATCCAGTACTGAAATTCCCACTGTACTGACATTTATAGAACACATCGTGGATTAGCAAGCCAGACAGTGCCTGTGAGAGATACAGGTATGATTCCCACCAGATGCACTGCCATTCACGTCAGCCGATCAAAGATACAAGTTTTGGATTAGCTGGTCAAGGTGTCTATGCGAAGATGCCTCCGCAACAGCAGCCGACTGAGCTGATCTACTGTGCAGCCTCTGTGTGTATTCCCAAGAGAAAGCGCGAATATCCGCGTCGCAGGTATGTGAATCTTAGCCTGACTTGTCTGAATTCTACTGATCCTGAAGACGATGCGATTCCAATAGAACCGACATTCGACCACAATGCACGAGCGCAAGGACCGCAAATCTTTGCCGTCTCTTCGTCCCAGACTTGCCACCAGAACATGTAAGTCATGGATCATCTCGCCGATATACAAGCTAATGAATGACAGTGAACCATTGACATCGCACCAAAGGGCCCGAAGGATAGCATCCCGTCAGTGCCCAATACAAAGCCATGACCTACACGCTGACCCCGGCCCCGTCGCTTCAAACCACGCAGCATACACTAGGTGAAGAAGGAACGGGCTAATAACGGGTGCGGACATCCGATTGCGAGCTTCGCTGCATGGAAGCTTGAGACGTCTATTCTTCCTGATAATGTGAGTGATTTATCGCGCCTTCCGCTGTGCTATATCACCAACACCATTACTGATTTTTATGCCACTGTACATAGGAGCAGCCATCGCCACTGTGAAACATACCTGTGGGGAGTTCTATCGCCGGATCGGAGATAAGACCAAGGCGTCACTACGACGCGTGCTCCATCGCGTCTTCCGCCTCAACCTCACCGCCCTCACACCATGAACGACGGGGTGTGTGAACCTCTCGCCGTCCCCATTGCGACTGTATAATTTCCAGTCACGGGTGGTTCGTCACGCGCCTTTGGCTCTCAGAAGTTGCCCGGTGCACCCAGCGCGGCTTCGTCGAAGCGACAGCTGGAGAGTGCGACGAACTGGATACAACATCATGTCAACATGGCATGGATGGTGACTGCATTGATGCAGACAACTGTAAGTGATCTCGTCGGTAAGATATGACCACGAAGCTAATTGATCGTCTCGTCTCAAGCGATTATTCTGCGAACTTTATGAACAGGTAAGTCATAACAACTCGTCGAAGTGGTAAGCCTTGCTGACTCGGATCATACAACAGGAGGTCCCTTATATTCCCGTCACTCGAGTAGAATGCGAGGCGAGCAAATGTCTTCTCTGCTCGAGCTCCCCTATACCGATGCGATCGGATGCTGTCTATAATTTTCACACAACTACTGGTGGCATCGATGATGAGCCAATGTAAGGTCCAGATCGTCTACCTCGGCCCTTCTCTCAGTCGACTCTGTGCATCAGTCATGTGCTGATGTGTCTACCCGATACAAAGCCCAAGCCACTATGGCCTTATACCACCGTGTGTCTCGGCATTCGAAAGAATAACTTCTTGTGGATTAAAATCCTGGCGTCCATTGGGAGATCATTTCCTCGGTTGGCTTCTCGCATGTTTCCAAGCTTGGAACTCCGAAAGACCCGGGGAATGCTGGTGGATTTTTCTGGCTTGATGGCAGGTGAGCCATACCTTCGCAGACGGCCAGATTGTTAGTGCAAGTCTGTGTGCAAGGAGAAGGTAAGGCAAAGGCCCCGTCATATCAAGCCCACAGATTAACATTACCATATCAGCTAAGAATCGAGAAAAGGAGACCATCTAGTCCCGAGTCACAGCCGAGCCGACTCAAGAGCCACGAGCTACGAATCACCGACCTTTACTGTCCTACCTGATCCTACTCCGCGTTGCTGAGCCATTCGACGTATTCGAGCGGGTGGAGACGAACGAGCGGAAACGAACCAATCGGACATGCACGACGCTGCATCAAGGGCGCTGTCAGAAATGTTGTGGTATCTTTGGACAATGTTTGGTAGATTTGATGCCTAAGTATGCTTTTTCCTATCCAAGCCCGAGCAACATGGGCAAAGGGCATTTACCCTGGAAGTCACTGTAGCTGCAGGTCAGTCAAGCCGACGCTTGTACCATTTTCTCGCTGAAATCGTCTTCTAACATATCGCGCGCAAGCAGCTTTTTCCAGGAAATGGCCGAATTTTCTACGTCCCCTACGTCGACTGTCCTTGAGCATCAATTATTTGTCAGACACTGCGCTTTGAACGACATTTGGCATATCACTGTTCGGACAGATTCACTGTGAAGGTGGATTTGATGTCTGTAAAAACACCACCCAGAGCCATCCTGCTGTGCCACCTCTTTGACTATCTCCGACAACCTAAGCTGAATTTTCTACCCCTAATCAGCGCTCATGTGATTGATTTCGGGGGATGGGTTAGACGCATGCCTAGTGCGATTACAAGTCAACTAAAGTACCACTTGCGCGGATAATCCCTCGCGACAGTCCGTCGTAAATGTTGGCAGAGATATCTTTACCAGGTCTGGTTCAGTGGCGTTTGCTAGACCCCGATCGGGCTTCAACCGTGTTCTCTCGGCAGCAGAGCATGCTTGATCGCATGAACTCGGGTACTACGCCCCAAAAAGCAATGGCCGTCGCTTTGAGTGCAGTAGTGGATGCTGATAAATGGGAGATGGGCTGGCAATATAAATCGTAATTGCTGACGGGGATTATTCACAAGGTTACGACGGCTCCCATATGTATACTTTCTGCGCGCACTCCCAAATTGAAGCGAAAAATCATAGCTATCGACGATGGAGGCCTTTGTTTACGAGAAGAATCCAGAGGCATATTTAAAGTTTTAAAAAGCCGTGTCGCTATTATGGAAGCCAAAAGGCAATTTCAATGCCTAGAAAATGGCCAGCCGACTTATGACCTCTCAAAGGAGCTGAGACAATTTTCTCAGACCAGAAGTTAATTGGTCTGGTGTGTACGCTCTTATGCATGGGAGTCCTGGATCGACATCCAAGAGGAGGCCTTGGCGAATGATTATGTGGGATCAGCATCTTGGCAGCAAGGTCTGTGGTCTAATGGATACTCCCAGGCGTCTGTTGCGACATGGTATTTTCGTATTGAACGCAGAGCCATATTTTTGTTCTCGCGATAACTTAGGGGCATCTGAACAAGAAATGACAAGTCGGTGGACATGAGATAAAGAGATTACTGTTTCTCTGGCCTATCCCTCCTCTGAAACTTCGACCACGAATTCACGGCAGCGAGCTATGATCTGTTTGAGCCTACCAACTGTTCGTTGTTTAATTTCAACCTGCATGTCCCGCCTCTTCTCCTCCCCAGGCAGCTCGCGCGAGACAGTTTTGTTCGGAGGTTCAGATCCCAATCGAAATTCTAGGCCTGAATCTATGAAAGCAGATATTTCCATGACTTCAAAAGAACAGTCTACCTTTTCTACCACCTCAGTCTGCCAGAGACTCAGCACCTATTCGCTTGCATGTAGGTTACCCTTTCCTCCCCATTGACATCAGGCTCTAACCAAATAAGACCGTTCGAGTTTGGTTTTCTCCCAAAGGTCTTGAACCTATTGAAGACATCAAAAAGAAGGGCCTTGAAGACGTGGTTTTTGATGCCATTGCTCTTCAAGAGCTTGGCACTCAGCATCAAGCCCACGGTGACCATGGAACCACGAAGAAAGCATTCCTAGTGGAGCTTGCGGTACTGGAGACTGGTATTTTACGGGTTTTGGGCAAATATGGGATTCTAGATTTCGTTCCTCTGAGCAGCGATGATCCGACTATTTCGCAACAACCAGCAGAAGATCTCGACTCAAAGAAAGCTCTTTACTACCAACGTCTACATTCAAAATACTCACAGGAGTATGTAAAAAGGCAGCGCGCCTGCACGGTTTTGGGTGTTGAGATGAGCAAACTTTGGACGGACTGGTATGATGGCTGTCTTAGAGAAATTGGTAACCGCCTTAGAAAGCTCGGTTACTGTTGAGCAAAGCAAATATAATTTGATTTATGGTTTGCTCTTGCACTGATCACTAGAAAAACCTCAATCTAGGACCAATAAAAAGTCGAAGTTTGAAGGGGCCGTTTCACACATAATGCTTCGGTATCGATCTTGAAGTATTCTCACTTCACTATCATAAGGCCGTCGCAAGAAAGTAATCAAGTCCTGCCCCACTTCGGAAGATGAAGCATCAAAATGCCAAGTTATCAGCGCTAGCATCAAAATAGTACTATAAATAAGGTCGTGTAACCCTAAGACGCGTAAATCTTTATATTGCCTTCTCACACTTCAATTGCCAGCAAACCGACCCCAAGCCATCTCCATGAAACCCGACAACAAAACAGATTGTGAAATTATTGAGCTTCCTGACATCCCTCCAGACATTGAATTTGTCAAAGGCAGGATTATTTGCGTGGAAGAGGAACACCTATCCCCTGAATGGTCAACTACACGTTTGAAAAACAAAAAAACTGGCTGTGATCATGTTGTCAAACATTAGTCAAGGATCGAGTCTTCAGTAAGTGCTCTTCTTCATTCTCAGGCTTGTTGCAGTAATCTAATTTTCGATAGCCAGGGCCTCTAGATCTTTCGCGGTATAATCACACGTTACATGGCTAACGCTTGTGGCCAAATTCGTAAGTCCTGATACAAATTCATAAATAAAAGTATCAAGATATTCTATTCTTCGAGTTTGAGTGGACAGGGAGAAATGGAAAACCATGGCTTCATTCTTCATTACTTGCGTTTCAGCAAATTCCTCTACCCTCATGAGGGGCTTCGCTAAACTGATTTTCCCAACAAAATGAAACATAACTTGGTAGATCATTGATCGTTCGGCAGTCCCTGATCCCTTTCCGACGACAGTAGTCACCGCTATTCCAAGGTGGAGAAAGGCGTAATTAGCAGCTGACCAATGACATAATAAGGGCCCAGTATAGGAATATAATTGGCTTGACGTTACTCTTTTAACCTAAAGCAAACAAAGTCCTTAGTTACTAGCCGAACACTGTATAGAAAAGAATCAAATCATTGTAAATTAACATTCTTATAAATACTTTCAGTTTGGAGGTTATCTATTTTGGCAAGATCGGTGCCGGTAGGCGATTAGTGGGGTCATCAAATAATGGCCTTGCGTTTTACTCTGTTCCTAGCCCCAACGAAGCACACCATGTCGCAGGGGCTTTTGAGCTTTAAGCAGTATCCTAGGAAGCCACATACATCAGCTCGTGGACTTAAAACGATTCCTGTAACGTAACAGCTCGTCAAGGCCATTATGGGATGTCAAACGTTTCTAGGATGTGAATAGGGTAAGTACCATTTAAGTATATAAAAATAAAGACCTCTCCCAGCAATGTCCTAGAGAAAGGCAAGCGTCAGATCAACAAAAATGGAACTCGCTACTCACGGTACGCTCTTCAAACCACGGCATCATTATTAAGCTAACCCAAGGAAATCCAGACCCTGATGAATTCTTGCAAGAATTTAGAAAAATAAGAACGGGAATATATGACGCTCCAGATGGTCAGAAAGAATATACCTATTAGGCTAGGCTATATTAGCTGATAACTTACAGACTTTGTCATAAGATTCGATACCGACAGTTTGCCTTCATTTGAGCCTGTCGACGAAGAATTATGGAAAGCGTGCGCCGGAAGCAGCATTGTTACGCATCTTACACTTGATCGGGTATACGAGGCCCTCCAGACATCTGAGAAGTGCAACCACATTTGGGCACTATTTGAACGCAGTTTTTAATTTCCCGGAAGTCGAAGAAAGAAGAAATATGCTCGATCAGGCCGGGTCTGTATCGAGTCCCTAGCGGTAAGAAGCGTTTTATGACTTTGTTAAATTAGAACTAGAGGCTAACACGCGATAGACTTGGTAATAATGCGTACGAACAGACAGGCCCTGATAGGAGGATGTTCTTACAAACTCATTTCGAGGAATGTACAAAACGATTGTCAACGCCTTTATGCGCTTGACCGAGGTGGAGACAAACTTAGGCTTGCTGAGATCTACGCGGGCCTATGGATCCTCGGTGGATACTCGACGTCTACATTCTTAGAAATGTCTGTCATCATGAGGGGCTGGCTTCAAAATGAGGAATTTTCCATTACAGAGGAGGGGATATTAACCAGGCTTGTCCTACAACTAGGGCATCTTGTCAAGACCCAGGGCATTGCCAACATTATAAAACGGCGGGTCGTCGAAAGCAAATATTTTATGATTGAACTTTCGCGGGATGGAGGAGACCATTGGTATGCCAAGTGCCAATCGCTGGATTCCCCACACAGTTGGCTGCAACCAAGGGCAACCCTACCGGAACTCGTTGATGCTTTATGTTGAAGGACGTCCTTTTGTCTCCCCTCCATTTTCTTTTGATACTTCACGTTAGTTTATACAATTGTATCTCTCGTTACCTTTTTGCCCCTTACCCACAGAAGAATAGGCGGTTCGTGAGAGGCTCCATCGGGTCTGGTGGAGGTCAATTCGGGGGATCCCTCACGATCTAAAGCAGCTTTCCACTTTCTGCCCGTTATTTGGCTGCGCGTAACTTACTTCGGAGGCGTGTAGTCGTTTTGGTATCCGAAGCATTCAGCCCGAACCTTGTTCTACTAGAACTACACGATGTGTTACTCCATTTGGCCATAGAGTTGTGTCTCTCAAGAGAGCCCATCTTGGAAGCAAACGAACATCTCACAGATTAGACAATACGTACTTGCCATATATCTATGCACAAAGCTACACTAGGTTGCCTTTCTGTCCAAATACGCTTGTTTTTATCATGGTCAAGTAATTGCTCTTATGCTATGTGCCCATCCGCACACTTTTGCAAACGTAGCATCTATACTTACCTCCATTGAATGCAGTGCGAGAGCTAGCTATGCACCCTGTCACATGAGCATGCCTCAAGCCCTTGAACAGTATTCAGAAAGCCGTAGCTATGTGCTTAAATGATAAGTCGACAGCAAAACGGCAGTCCTAGCTGATACTGCTCCGCAAAACTATGTGGGTATTCACCCACCGGGACATTGCGGTCACCAAATGGGCGTGGTAGTGATCAAACCACCTTTTCCTAATTTGGCCTAAGTCTTGAGCATCTTATACACCCGGGCAAACTGGTGGCGTCGCCCCTGGAACTGTTTATCCACGACATGAATATATAATACCCTTCCGTTGCTGCCTCTCCAAAGAACGCTATTGCTTCCATTTACTTTATGCCACCGCAAACCTTTACTCCGACCCTACCTTCGGGGGAACTTCCCGCAATGCCTTCACCAACCGACAACACATTTGAAGGATATATGTTTTACCGAGCGGACTCTTTGTTGCGTAGCAAGCCAGACTGGCGTTTTGTGGAGAGAATTCCACTACAGATTAAACAGCGAAAGCTCGGCAAGATGGTTTATGACCGGGCAGCGCTCTGTTCTCCTGTGAAACAACAACAAGATTTGAACGGCGACCGGCTTCGCCATATCAACCAACTTGTCGCAGACCGGCGTGAGGTTTTTCCGGGGCTCTATTGGACAGTGGCATACCTCGAAGAGAGTGTATGCGCTCATGGAAGACGAGAGGTGATGGCACCTGACTACCAGCAAGAACATGACATAGTCTCTATGGTGGTTATCCTCTTGGCAAGGCCGCAGCAAGAGGGAAAATATGCCAAAGGGCTTATAGGAGACTTGGTAGACATCGTCCGTGTTGGTAACGACAGCGGACACAGCATTGGCCATTCCAGCGCTTCCAGCGTCGTTAGTGAATTTGGCGGAACGCAAGATACCCACTGCGTCTCAACGTGGCTTGGAGACCCGAAATCGGAAAGATCTGACCCAGGCGAGCTCTCTTTAACCGAGAGGTAAGCAGGCTAGCCACTCCCTAACCCGCGGTTTTATTCCGCCCACCCGGCTATGCCAACAGTCTGAGTCTTACACAAGTTTTCTAACCATGAACTCTAGTGAAAAAAATATTGTCAACAACAAGCGATCTCAAAATCCTACGGCCGGATCACCACATCCTAAGAGGATTTGCCAAAGCGCCAGTCCTCGTTGGAGCAATGAGCGAGACCAGGGGGTAGACCGATTCAAACGACGACCTCCGGTTTGATTATTATTCAAATGTTGCGATGTATACAAGCTCCGGCAGGACACTATGGTATTGGCTTGAAGGGAGATGGCAGATTTGTCCAGGCTTCGCTAGGGGACTGATTCTCTTTTGTACTTTCTTTTCTTAGAAGAGCATATGGACATCGTGAAGTGATTCGCTGTGAATAGTGGGTTTATAGGAGATCAGAATGTGTGTGAGATTGTTCCGGCTCCCCATGAAATAAGAACTAGTAAATTGGGATTTCTGATAGGAAATAAAGTGCGTAAGACGAACGAGTCAAGGTCTAGGAACTATTAGCTTGTTCTGATAATCTTTAGAAGTCGCTATACAGTAATTGGTAAATCAAGAGACTCGGACAGTGAGCTCCATGATGTATTGCCATCTGGCTGTTTCTCTCGAGGCGATGTAGGTGTAGTGGAAAAGTGGGCATCAAAAATTGATAGAGGTCGAAGTCCTGGTTTATTTACGCGCATGCGGGCAGGAAATTCTTCATACGTTATCATGCATAATTGAATTGCTAACCCAATAATTAAGCACACATTTCATGTCACACGAAGACGTTTGGATCTCCTGTCTCTGGCTGACATAGCTATCGTTCTACCGCTCATGATCGCTGCAAAGTCGGTTGACATTTCAATGTGGAGCGGTGAAAATCGATGATTAATGCTCGGCCAAGTTCTTTATTCCAAAGAATATTGTCACGCCGGAGATCTTCGTGAATGATTCCCAAGGCTTTGATTTCTTTGTTTGATCTGCGAATTTCCTGGCGGAGCCAAGGCGCCAGCTCCATCGATGCTGGACTTTCTCCCCCGAGCCCACGAGCATGACGTGATCTGAAGGTGTAGACGTCAACTTCAACTAACGCGGTGGTCTATGGGTCTGGGGGCCATCATGTGCAGACACCAGTTGAGCTGGATAGGAGCTTTTTTCTGCTTTTCCCTGCCCCAACACGATGACCATGCCGCATATTGCCAGAGGTTGGTTCAAGAGCCGGAGGGCGCTTGAACCATTGCACTTCCTCCAGGTCAATAACAAACAAACGGCCACTCAGGTCATCCCACAGCATATTGCGCCACTCACGATCGCCGCGGACAACTCCATACGACCGGAGCACGGACAGAGCTTTATCGCGCTTCTGGTGAAAGAATCTAGAATTCTCATCGTTAATGACATGCTGAAGCCGTGTTCCAGACCAGCTCAGTGTTTATTTACTTGATATCGTCGAAAGCATCGCTGAAAATGCAAATTCGGCCAACTCTTAAATAACCGTTGCATTTTTTTCTTCATCACCATTGTGACTCTGCGAACAATTTAGCTATCTTACTTCCCCCCTCAATTCGGTTAGCGTCTTTATCTCCGTATTTCAGAGTGACGCTAGTACCGAACTGGTAACATTTAAAGTTGCGGACCGAGAATATGACAAAAAAAGAATTAAGGACACACAGCAATAGACGTCTCAAAAATCTTTTCAAGTGATCTGATAGCCAAAAGCCATCAGGTGGGTAGCTATGTTAGGGATTGCGAATGAGAGGGACTGATGTGGGGCACGATGAGCTGAAAGCGGTTAGCGTTTCTCTTTACTCCGCTCAGAGTCGTTCTCACGACCGACGTACACATCGTCCCGCAATTACTGTCCCGCCCAAACCAAGCAGGACCAAGCCTTGCAGCTGCAAATATACTGCCATATTTGTGGAAGAGTGGGCTCTGCAGTAATCGGCGTCCCACGTAGTCCACTAGTCCATATAGATCTGTTTACCCTATGGGCAGACACGGTTTTGAGATGTCTAGAAGAAATCCGCAAAAGCGCAGCTAGATGAGCGAGATGCAAGATGTCGAGAGCTTCTGGTCTAAACACAAGCGATTGCGACCGTTTATACAGAGTGTAAAGCGGATCTGAAAGCACTGAGGCCTAGCAAATCCATGCTGCCTTCGTTTAAACCTGCACCAAATGCACTGTGTTCTTCGACATTGGTTGCTATGTTGGCTGGGAGTGGGCAAAGAGGGATGGATCGGGTGCTTGTCGTATGTTTTTTTATGTACTAGGTCACATGTTCGAATCTATCATTTGACTAGTCATCACATGAAGTATGAGGATCTTGAAATCGACGCCGAAAATGACAGCATTTGACGCCAGGGAGAGCTGGCTTTCCCCCGTAATCTGGACAGCGAGCCGCCGCTAAACCGCCCCCATTCAGAACCGCCACTATTCTGCGTCCCTGTCTAGAAGGTAGTACTTTGATCGAAGAGGAGAAACCAATAACCTTGGAGATACACGAAATCCTTAGTCATCCATCTTAGGCACATATATCACAGGCCTGCATCCTATTTACTAAGTACAACTGTAGTACATTCCCTCCCTTGTTGACTAGTGTCCTAGATTGTTGCTTTGGTGCATGGGCTTTACTTACGCCGACAGAACAAATTGAAAGAGCAGATTGAGAGCGGGGAGAAGGAAGATACCAGGCGTATTCACACCGGAGATGGCGCCGTGGACTTTAAGTCTCATTACTAGTAGGCTATATTGTTTAAATCAGTAGCAATCAAAGTCTTCGCCTTGTAGGATATTGACTTCCTTATATTGTACCCATAAACTTATATTAATAAATCGTGATACGATAGCTAATTCTGTCTCATTATGTATTATTATATTGAGATAATTAATAACATGTGTAGATTCAACATAACTAGCTGAGATACATGCATGTGCCCGACCTAGTTTGCAATTAACTGAATTGTCTTGCACTCCTTTCTGTAAAGACCGTAATGGTCCATGAGCTCACGGTCCATTTTCGGTCCGAATCTTGACTGAGGGCTCCACATCGACTGGACGTCCCCATCCTTGGTGATGATTTCGCGAGTCGCAATAATAATTGTTCCTAGGGGAGTTTTGCAAGCAGTTGGATAGTAAATGGGCTTGGTGACCGCCTTCAAAGCGTTATCGTATACCAAGGGTATGCCATATATCTTCCTAGATTGGGATGTTTCCAACTCTTTCATCGCCCTGGTTTTTGTGAAGTGTTAGCCCGGTTTCTCTCCTATGATAGTTAAGCGGATATATTGAATGACTTACGTAGCTTTATACCCCACAGGAACACTCTTTGGATCTGACACCATCAGATCGGCCAGCATTGGAGCGTGCTGGCCGAGCAAATCACCCTTGTCGTAAGGCTTCAGAAGCTTGTATGACAGAACTCGCCCAAAAACATCAAGTGTCAGTGGCTTTGCTTTGGTGTCAAGAGTGCCCCATGGTGCACTGACATCATATCCTTTGTCTTTGCCAACAAGGTATAGACCGCCGTTGGTTCCAGTAACCATAATACTTCCACTGTCAGCGGCCATAACGATCTTGAAGCCTTGAGCGCCTTCAACCTTTTTAAAGTTTCGAGTGGCATCGGCAATGTAGGGCTTTCCTGCTCCAGAGTCGCCGCTCTCGTCGGTAACCTTCTTGATAAGCCCCTTTGCTGGTTTTTCAGTTCCAGGATTGAATCCGTCCGCGCTACGAAAAATTAGTGTTTGAATCTCTGGTGTAATATGAACGAAATAGCTTACTTGACACAGCCAAGGTCCTTTTCGAAAATTGGGATATTTGCGATCTCGTATTCGAAAACGTCGAATCCCGCAACGTGGATGCGATTCTTCGCACCAACCTTCAATTGAACACCATTCTTACAAGTGCTCTCTTCGCGGGTCTGGAGATCCATACTTTCTTCACGTGCTTGGAGTTCCAAATTTGCAGTTGCCTTAACATAGACGGACGGAGTGTTGACCAGCCCAACAGTTTCCTTGAACTTCCCATCAAGAACAGTGAGTCCAACTTCAAGCGCCACCGGCAATCCAATATCACCAGTAAGGGAAAATTCACCCTTTGCACGAAATACGGGATCGAACTTTGGCTCAAATCCTTTGACTTCATTTTTACCTTTCAAGCTAGCAATGGCGTGTCCTGCTCCAATAGACACACTGCCTCCAACCAGTATTTCGACCTTACCTGCAGCCTCAAGGCTGACTGCTACCCCGAAGGTCACCTGAGGGCCAAGATTGAGGATGCCCGGAATGGATAAGCCACCGAAGGGAATGCTTTTTAGATCCTTTGTCTTCTTTGACTTGATAGTCTTCGATTTACCCTTGGATCCGCTCACTGAGGCGTCTGCGCTTATTCCAAACTGAGCATCCAGGGTCAAAGGATCGTTGTTGACAAATGAGATACTCCCTTCGGTGATACCATTTTTGATGCTGAATGCTAACCGGCCATCTATGTCGATGTTGACGTGAACACCACATTTCGCGCACTGTACCGTCCAGTGGAACTCGTTTGGATTGTAGTAGTTGTCAGAGCTGGCGAGCTTAAAACCATCTTTGATGCCGAATATTTCTGGTGGCCGGTCTCCAACATTGCTCCTGAGGTATTCATGGATCCTGATGTCGTTGTGATATGTGTGGTCAAATGGGACACCGAAAGGCACTAGCACCAGCTTTGCAGTGATGACTGCGACCTCAATAAGCGCGTCGCCAACCTTTTTAATGAAGGTGAATGCATCCCTGAAAAAATTTCCAATTCGCTTTTGAGAAAGTAAAATAGGACAATTAGCCTGCATTCCGAAATGTCTCTGCGGAAAATAAGTCTCTTACCCGACCTAGATCTCGGAGTCCATCCAAAATATCAGAGAAAATATCTCGCCGAGAAAGTTCGTTTGAAGAGCGTTTTGAGATTTCGGTCATAGTTCTCTTGGTTCTCTCAGTACGAAGACGCGTGGTTGACCGTCGAGTCATGTTTGTGCCAGTCATGTTTGTAGGTGGCTCGGGGACCTCAAGATCTTCCATATCCACAAAGTTCATGGGGTCAATCTTCTCACCCATATGTGTCGTATCTATATCAGAGCTGTTGAAAAAGTTCTTCAATGCCCAAGGGTTTAACGCGACATCCATAGTGGCATTGCTAGCATATTTATCTGACACATTGCGCGCTGCTGGGGAATCGGGTCTGCCTCCGTTGAAAGAGTAGGCTGGCTTGGTGACACGAACATGGCCCTTGGTAGGGGATCTCTTTCTCTTCTGTGGGTCTTTGTATGTACCCCAGGTCATGACACCCGAGTCCAGGGCATCTGACTCCTGGATAGGAGTAACCGACACCACAATGCACATGTCCGCTAGATTGATGGAGGGCTGAGTCGCATGGAAAAAGCTACGCTTCCCCGAGCTCTCATCCCCACAGCCTTTATGGTAAGTTGCCAGGTTGATTCCACCTTGGATCAACCAAGAGGCCTCAACTGTCGCCATTGCAAGGGGGTTGTTGAAGCAGATGTGCATGTCATTGTCATCACAGGTAACGCTACTGACATGATCGGACTGATCTAAGACAACCGTATGCCGGACAAATTTCGCCTCAAGGGAAGCGTGTTTTGCGCCATGAAGAGCGGCTATGAAGCTTTAATTAACATAAGGAGCTCGTATTCTTGGAACGCATTAGACTTACGACGATGGCCCTCTTGGCTGTAATGCAGGACCTTCTCCAGGCCTGCAGAGAGATGCTCCAGGTCAAGCGAATTGTGGCTGGGGTTCAACCCAGGATGCAATGCTATATCATCGCCACCAAAGGAAGGAGTGACTTGTAGCAGACCGTCCACCGCCTTGTGAAGACCAATGGCAGATGTAGTGGCCGCTATGCCCAAGACGGCGAATATGCCTTTGAGGCGCATGGCCATGATAAATGAGTGACTTAATAAATGAATGAATGAACGAAAAGAAAGAAAATGAATGACAATGAATGTTTGAGAAAGAAGATCGAGCCCACCCCTTGAATAACATGGCATTTATAGTCCATTTGTTTGTTTCCTACCCCTCCTCGGATCTCTTGATCTTCAATGTGATTCGGAGTGGAGTATAGATCGGCTCGGGACTATCACCAATAGCACCCGCCGATCGTCTGCAGGAACACGATAGATCGACCAACCCCCTCGATGTTCATTTCCCTTTTCCCGCTTGCCCCTCTTTTATACTTTTATGATTAGATGTAGACCCTGACATGGGACGGGGGATTTTTTTCCAAAGTTCAGGATTTGTTTCCATGTATTTATTAGTGCTGTTGGCGCCACACAAGGTTCAGCGGCGCCACATGTGCATTGACAAATACTTGCCCTGCCTAGTAACTAGATAGGGTTATCCCATACGGAGTTCAGAAAACTTGAGTAATAGCGACCTGAAGAAAACCTAGATAAACCCTTGATATGAAGTCCAGGATTCAACAACAACAACGATCGACCCTCCAGCTGAACCATGATGCCCGATCGGTTGCCGAGGTATGTACTAGTACCTGCATACTATATCCACTATCTATTGGACATGCATTTTGGTCCTTGACACGTGACCCACATATTCGCTAGTGGTAAAGTATTACACGGTGGAACAGTAAAGAATCGATAAAACACACAGAGAAAAAGGGGTGGCCGTGGTGGGCGTACTGACAGTACAGAGATGCTAGGACCGAGGAGGTAAAGTGTTGTGCGGGTCTTCACCTGTCAAGGACGAAAACGCATGTCCACATGAAATCCCTTCGCCCAAGAAAAATAACATCCTCGCTAATTGCCGACGATTCTTTTCCTCATTTAGCCTTCCGTAAGGCCAACATCAGCTCCCACAGTATCCGGAGCTGGAATTAGAGGAATGAGCATTGCATTTACCGCCGATATTCAGCTTTGGGTGGCGGATACCAGCCCCAATGTATTTGTACCATTTTTGATCTTATCTGAAATGTACCAGAAATACATCAAGAAACGATAGTGGGGACTTTGACTGGCCGAATATAGTCTAGCGCGATCTGCGTGGGGCGCTGGGAAAGAAAGCCAGTGTGTCCCGAGGGGTAAACTGTTTTCGAATTCTACTGTAAACAGCGCCCTCTGGGTAAAAAGATAGAGCGGTGTTTGAAATGATTGTTTCAACATGCTCGATGGTCGCGCCCTAGAGTTCATTCCGAGCCGGGTCACCCCGTATAATCGAAGCGTGAATCTTTCGTGCAGTAAATTCTCTGCTAATACATTCAGAATTAAGACGGCTCAGTCATTTCCCTCCAAGAAGGAAATAAGTCAGGAACTCTCAGCGTCCATTCTAAATGGCATTCAGAGTGCCGCTAGTCCAAAGAGGCAATAGGCTACTTTTCTAGAATTGCCTCGTCGTTACTGAAACGGGCTGCTCATATAGTAACTATGATTGGCTCAATAATCCACTGGTTTGAGAGTATCTCATTGGGCGAATGCTTCTCCTTTCTCCACTTTGGAGTAGCAAAGCAACTTGGCGCTTTCTCATTTAGGTATTTTGATCTCTATAAATACCATTCGATGTAACTAATGTGAACCAATCTTAAGTCAGCTGTCGTGGCTAACCTACACATATCGTCGTACAAATTGTGTTTATTTACCTATGGGCCGGCTGGACTTGAGCAAACCGACGGCCAAGTCCTTCTAACTCCGGTAGAGACGAAAATAAGCGTGGCGCCTGCCCTAACTCCGATGTAGATACTGGCAGACAGACTTGTAGACACGAAGCAGCTGCTCTGGGCAGTCGGCCCAATGTTCCAATCGAGTTGGGCAGTCTTTTCCGGTCGGAAGGGGTATTTTGCCAGTGGTTGAGCGAGACGGTGTCTCGACTCGCAACTGGCCGGAGAGAAGGTCATGGCAGTGCTGCAAGAGCTCTGTGAAAGAGGCCTGTTGGTTGCGTTCTTCTGCTTGTCGCCTCCTTTCTGTTTCCTGCCGTCTCCCTTCTGCTTCCTGCCTCTCGCGTTCTTCCGCCTGCTTCGGTCCTTCTTCTGCCTTAAGGTAAAGATCTTTGTAATTTGGAGAGCTGTGGTCGGCCATCGATTTGTTGAAAAGGGTAAGTCATGCCTTGACGCAAGTGCGTCAGAGCTCGGCTGACGATCTGGTCCGATCAGCTTTCTGCCAGCAGATCCCGGCTCTCGGAAAATGCTTTCTTCCGGAAAATGACTCGGGCCTCACATTTCAGGTATACATACTACCTTAAAGCGGTTAGCGCTTGTATTTACTCTGATCAGAGTCGGCCGGCTCCTTCCCGAATCAGGTTTCTATACAGTAACCCCGCGGAATCCCTGCCACTGTTCTCGAAGTACTAATTTATGTGTCACGTATCTAGGATCATGCTCTTGCATCTAGAGGCTAAAGTTGTCAAAGCTCATAAGAGGGTCAAGAGACATACATGCATAGTTGAATACTTTGTCAAAAATAGGCTCTGTGGGTGATAAAAAGCTGCTTCCATTGATAGGAATAGTCATTTGTCTAGGCATTGTCAGAAGACCCGACGTCGGGCGAGGTATATATAGGCAAAGGGCTTGCGTGATCGTGGTAGTCTTTGATTGAATTCCCAAGTTTTGGGCGGGCTTTGATGGCAAAGCTGATGGGCACGATCAAGCTTCCCAGCAGAAAAAGAAAAGTTGAGTTGATGGGATGATTCTTCGGATCAAAAAATGACTTTGTTCACCATCAATCGAAACTTGTTGGAACACCCTCAGGTTGAACCAGCCGCACTGTATGCCTCATTTTCAATACCCCTGCACAAATGCCCCAAAGTTCTGCTCTCACGATAAGCTGATCTAAAAAGATGCAAGAAAGTTCAATCAAAACTGGCCGCTACTGGGTTGCCTAAAAGCTTGAAAAATTGTCCTTTTCATTATTACCCCTCAAATAACATTATTTTTCTCTAGCAGCCAGATTTGGACTAGTGGCACTCTGAATGCTGTTCAGAGTCACGCCAGCTCTCGGCTAAACTAATTTCCGAATAGCCATGGCCAATACCTCTTGATTTTATCGGGATGCGTTCAAAGCTGTAGTCCGAGTAACCTTCCATATACGAAGGTAGAGGAAGTCTCTCTGCTCCGCCCTTGCCCGCCTTTCATTAGTCTACGGAAGTAACACTATAGTGGTTCTTGGATCATCTCGTACACACACACACAATTTATTAACGCCCGGCGGCTAAGCCGAAAGGGCAACTATCTCTGATCTATACATGACTAATATATATAGTACTGTGTCTCCTCAGAGCCCATACATAAAGCCTTGCAATATATGTCATCTCAGATGTCCGTATCGCAGCGGATCCTCGTGGGTTAGTAATTTCGTTAGTAGACTGGCTTGAAGGCGCTTCTCCAAGTGTTCAACATCCTATGTTCGGCAGTTGAAGCGCGTCTACCATCTGTAACACGAGGTGGTTGGTGGGTTAGATCGGCGAAAGGGGGTGGTTTATGTTCGTCGAGTCGGCCCGTGGCGATGGCGAATCGTATTGAGGCCCGTACCGCCTCTAAGTTCGGCGTCCACTTCTGATCATCGGAAGGCGACTTTCCTCCTAGGAAGAAGGATATATTTCCTCGGTGGGTGTTGATACATTGTAGTAGTTCCGTCCGGTGCGCCGTCCATTTTTGACATCGAAATAGGAAGTGCTCCACGGTCTCTCTCGCTTGTCCACACGCACACTGGTCCGTGTCTGCTACGTTGATTCGATAGAGATATCCATTGAGTCTTGCCATGCCGGTTCGGAGTTGAGCCAACACTCTCGCTTCTTTCCACGATAATCGGTCATACAGCTGCCGGGTGTGTTTGCCTGGGAGTGCTGCATCAACAAGTATTGATTTGTATTACTAAGTTGGGCACGCTTGATAATACATTGTAGAGGTGGCAGCATGTCTACCTACATAGACCCTCTACCTTGCATCCCCTTCGATCCTCATCCGCATCCTTCACGGGGCACAGCCAGTTCAGCAAGTCAATACCAGTTTGCACCTTAAGCCTACTTCCATAGCGGCCTTAAAGACTCCATCCTCGATAGCCATCTTCAAAATCCTATTCTCTCAGCAGACCGACACGCGCGTCCGTCCTCTCGAGCCATATAGAAAGTGTCGTATCTGCAGTCCGCCCACCCAGTCTTCCGTCGCTTCCATTATATGCTGCGCCCCACGGATTGTCAAATCCATTTCACGCTACCTTGTAAGATCTCTCTGACAAGGCCGACCGTGTCTCGCAGGAGTTTGCCCAGTTGTATCCTCTCTGTACCCAGAACAGCCAAGCAACACAGTGTTGCCCCTCCTACTAACCAAAGTACCTCGTCGTTCTCTGTGTGGATTTAAGCATGCTGGGTTGTGCCGTGTCGTTCGTGATTTAAACAGGTAGAGGAGTGTGTAGTCTTTGGGGGACTGCAGTACGTAGGAATTATTATTCAGGTCTTTTTGACCCTGGCACGTCTTCTGCTTAAATCATTTCGAGACGAGTGTGAACGGAGTCGCGTATGGGTTTCTGTGGGAAGGTTAGCCGCTGTCGCAGCAGGGAATTTCAATCCCAAAGCCGTCACAGCGCTCAACCAGGCACCGATAGTAGTCACCTAGCGCCTCTGGTTTGGGAATAATTCTCCATTTCACTCGAAATAAGAATTCAAGTTCTAGCACGGCGAGTTCTGTGGAGCTGATACCCCCTATCCGAGCGTATGTCTTGTTGGTCCAGAAAGAATCACTGAGGCCTTTACTGGCGACTGTTGCGCTAACAATCAGAAAACGGTGTATTGTCAAGCTAGACATAATAAATGCAGGGTATGCAGCACATAGTAGGTCAATATAAAAGACCATGCTGAGGAGGATTGGAGGCGATAGATGAGCGTGTGCCGTCAATCGACAGAGGTAAGCATGCACAGTGATCTGTGGCGAAGATTGCGAGTGAAACCGAGTCAGCTGATTTGGAAGGATGGGTATCTTGTCATTGACACTGATCAATTCCATGACCATGCTTGTAATCAACACCACCAAGTCAGCTGTCTCAATCAACTCATAAGATGCGGGCAGTAGCTTGAATCCGAGATTTTCGGGGTGCGATTGCATCGGCTGCAACTGTCGGTTCAATTGCAAGTCCGCCAAAGAGATCGAAATCTCATTTGTTGGTGTGTTGTCGCGTGGGTTGTTTCTTTTGCTAGATCCTGGGTTGCAGGCAGACATCGATCCAGACTCATGGAGTGCTCAGTAACTATTTAGGTGTATTGTCAAGTCCATCAAAGCTTTCTAGGGACCGAGGCCGTTGCGAAATGGGATGAAGCATTAATTTGTTGCTGGCAACCATTTGCGGAAGATTCAAACCGATACTCTCTCTGCATAGCCTCCCAGCGTCTTAATAGATGAATGTTGGCAAATCAACTTTTCGTAGGAATCTCTAATGGTGCATGACATAAGAAGACCAAGCTATCGAAGAGGATTGCGAAGGCAAGATAGCGACGGCGAGGCTGGGGACCAACGATCACGCGTGTTTGCATCGTTTGCACAAATCTACCGAAAATGGGTCCATTCGCCGCAAATGGATTAGGATGTTTCAAGGTGGTCAAGTTAGTTGCTTTTTCAATTCCACCGTACCTGCCGATTGATGTAGTCTCTTTATGGGCCATAGTCTTTCTTTTGTGGAAATATTATAAAATTCACTAGGCTAGTCGCAGTGATGTCGTACTAAATACTTTATCTACAATGAAGTTCCAAGAGATGAGGGGTCAGGTCATCTTACCCGCCATTCTCATCTCATGCAAGTAAATTGCCAATGTTCTCTTGGCTACATGTGCAGCGTAAGTTCGATGCCAGACAGCCGCAAACGATCCTTTCATCGGGCCCAATCCGCCAAACCCGAGGGCTTCCAGTACACATGGAGCGAATACTGCCAGCACACCCAATGCAACCAGTGTGACATATACAGGATGTTCTCCTGAAATGTCGACAGCGGCATCTTTCGCTTTTGTCAGCGCATTGGCGGCGGCGCGGGACATTTGTGTACGGGCCTTGATGGCATCTTGCAGGTAGTGCAGAGTAGCTTGTGCCATAGCCTTGCTGTAATCAACAGCCCTTAGTTCCTCCTGCAATTGTTTGCGGAGCTCCCTGGGTGTATCTGCAAGGAGAATTTTGGACACAACATCGTAGGCAATAGTGTCGGGAGATCGGAAGTCGGTGGGAGGCCATATTCTAAACACGAATGTGAAAAATATGTAGTCGGAAAAGGACGTCACCAAGCTCATTTTGCTCGCGATATACGGTATGGTTGCTTTGACTTGAGGATATATTGTTTGAAGCAGTGAAAATCTCGAAAGCTGTGGATGGGCAACGAAGCCGGGGTTAGCTTCTGTCATCGCCGGAATGAGACAAAGGTCGTCTTTACCGGTAACCCCACCGTTATTTGGTTTGACTCACTTTGTCGCTAGGCGAACGAGGATATCACATGCCGTGCGACTGCAATGTGGTCATCAGCAGTAAATTGCTTGTGGTAGAAAACTCGGCTTGGGGCAGGTTAGGGGCATCGACTTGAATCGCGTCGATAATTCGGATGAATTACGATACTAAGCTGTAAAGTAGTGAAACTCATGCTGTACGGAGCGGAATACCGAACAAGAAAACTCGAGCAAGATCAAACAGCGCAGAAGCAGAAAGGAGGGATCGTAATGTACTGTACTTTTGCTTTGACGTGGCCACGTACACTTTCTTGCGGATGATCCAGCGCTGATGGAAAGTCCACATGGCACAAAGAGGATATGTGGTCGGCACTCATTTTACTGCAAGCTCGCCGGCATTTCATCCTCCTGAACTAACTAGCGATGTAACCCGTTATCACGACCAAAGATGAACTAGCTCTACAGGGTGCCCTACAGATTAGACCTTCATTCAAAATGAAGTTCGGCATTTGTTTTCATGAATTGTGCCCGCTCTTTTGAACCCGCATTCGGTGTTACCTTACGTGCGCCGTTGAGACGGTACATACCGAAGGCTGTTAGTGCAACTAAGCCCCACCTATGATCGACATTCATTTCAAGTCCGTCGATAAATATCTATTGGTTGTGCGGAAAAGAGATGCTGTAATATTGGATGCGTTGAGGGTTTTTTTTTTTTTCCTCCGGGCTTCAAGTACGGCATGGGCACAGTGAACGGCAATCCGATTACATAGATTAACACTTGAAAAACCACTAAAATTCCAATTCCAACCATGGCCAAGTGCACTATATAATATTTCCAACATAATCCGATAAAACTCCTGAACGCTCATATGCTCCAAAGTCTACGCAGGTTGTTGCTATATTATTTCATAAATAGGGATTGCTTTCTTCACGTTCTCGACCCAGCGCCGAATGTCTTCTACGAAACGTCGAGCAATGCCCATCTTTACTCCCTTGCCGATAAAGAATTCCGGGTCTTGATCCTTGTAGACCTGCTCAAGGTCAAGACCATTCTCGAGCATCATGTCACAGGCTTGTCTAAATGCAGCCTTGAGGGTGTCATCAGTGACATTTAACACCTGCCACTCACTATATTCCTTGACTGCTTCGTCCCTAGGTCCAGGGATGTCGAGCGGGCTTAGAGACTTCAAGTCAGCAGCAGCCTGAGCAGCCGGAATGTCTAACCCAGAGGCGGAAGACTGCGAGGGTAGGACATTGATGTTGATAGGAGGATACGCTATTCAAATTCCAACGATATGTCCTCCTTTGCGATTGTTCTTCTCCAGTCTCTGTTGCTCTTCCATATATAATTCATCGCGTACCGTTTCTGGCACATCCCTATGGCCGTCCAAAACCCCACCTTTTTCGACATGGGTGACTAGGCGCCTCAGATGATGAGTTTTCAGTTGGTAGTGCTTTTTTCCCATTGGATCCACCCAACAATACGGGCCCAGAGGGCATGTCGACGAAGCGCATCGCATCAGATTATAGACGCTGCACCAGATTGGGTTTTGTCCAGAAGCATCCTGCTCCGCATCAAGCTGCGCGTCTCTTTCATCGAGCATCCTTCTCGTGACAGATGACTTTCATCTTTTCTCCACTTTCCGACCAGCGGTTGGAGAAGAGTGACGATCATCTACGTAGTTGAAGCAGATCTTCAGCGTGAGTTCCTTACCCCGGGAGAATAGCCCTGACCACATAGAAGCTGCTTCTCGATGGCGGTCCAAGTAATGTCGGTATCGTCAACTCGTTTAGTCAGGTTGCGCTGGGTACGATCATTTACTAAAACGACAATGGCAGTGTCATCAGCTTTCACCGAACGGTGGCGGGCAATTTTTCGTCGAAGAACTTTCTCCAGTTTTTTCTCCAACAACAGCTGCCAGAAGGCACTGGGGGCCAACACGAGGTCTTCCTCTGTGTCCTTTAGACTTGAATCCAATCGAGGAGTTCTTTGCTGAGCCCAAAGCTTTTATTCGCCGGAATTGGCAGACCTACGAAGATAATCCGGACCAGGGATTCGACATCTTCCTCGAGTGGTGTGCTGACACGGTTGGTGCAAGGGCGGAAAGCGCTTGTTGAGATAGGTAGTTGTAGTGTTCTTGTTAAGGTTACTATCAAAAGTGGGAACCCCGTCTAATTAAATGTCCATCGCTAGTCCTGCCATAAGCTTTGAACCGCGATACTCAACAGCGCTACCGCCCCGCACGAATTTTCGAACTGTTCGAAGTTCGCGAATTTCGGCGAATCGAATCGAATTCGAACCTTGGTTTCGGGGCCTCGAATCTATGGCAGTTTCGATTCGTCAAAATTCGCGAATTTCGAACAGGTTCGCGAACTAATATCTAGCCTTTTTAGGAAAAAGAGTTTGTGGAACGAGGTTTCGAGATGCCCGGCCCCTACAAGAATGCTTCTGCAAATAAGGTCTAGAATATCAAACACCTGTATGCCCAAAAAAACTACTACTGTATAACTACGAAGACTTCCAACGTGCAGCATCTTTCAGCCTTAATAAGGTCCCAAGGGTCTTGCCTTTCATGGAGAAACGTCGAATCCCCAGCACATCTCTCCCACCATTGAACAACCTCTCAATATCTACCTCTGCTGCCGGTATAGCAAGGTGATCTTGTGCTACCTTTGCCATACAACTAAATTCAAGCATGTTGGCCTTCCACCAGTTTCGTATAAACTCGGACTGGCTCTGGCTTATATCGAAACCAGTGCTGATTGTCGGAGTATCGTAATACTTGTCGATATCAGACTCAGCGACGTTATACTGTGTAGGCTGAAATGCTTCCAGAAATCGATATTCGAAGCTCTTCCAATTGGTGCTTGGAGTAGTCGATACAGGCTGTTTTGGAGTGGAATATGTTTTCTTCAGGAACTCCCGGATTCGGTCAATAATCTTCTCTCCATCTGGTAGCGTTTTGAGCCACTTGGTCTTGATTCGAGGGTCCAGAACGCTTGCGATATAGTTTATGTCGTTGTCTTTGACGCAGTCGTGGTACTTCTCTAGGAGTGAGATTCCATCGGAAACAGGAACAGTTATTGCTGGTGAGACCTTCTGCCACTCTCCTCGTCGTTCCTTGATAGCGAGGAGTATAGAACGGAGCTCTCCAAACATACGCGCCGCCAGAAGAATTGAAGGGCTATCCCGAGAGACGTACTCGGTATATTCGTTGAAGGGAGCCAGTATCTTTTTGATATCCGAGAGCTGTCTCCAGTCGCTGGGTGTGAGACGTAAGGCTTCGGTATCTGGATCATCGTTGACTGTATCTTCGAGCTGACGGCGACACTCTTCGGCTCTCACAATCATAACAAAGGTAGAGTTCCATCGAGTATCAACATCATAGTTGATAGCTTTGGTACAGCCAGGCCAATTATCCCACTTCTGTATCCGCTAAGCAGATCGTGCAATCCAAAGGACAAGTAGTCGAAGCTTTGCAATAGGCGAGGTAGGAGGGTTGACCGTCTTCCAGCTCCGCTTAGCAACATCATCAAGGAGATCACAGGCTTCCTTATGCGAACTAGCGCGTAGAGACCTCAATATAGTTTTCATAACCAAGTTCAAGATGTGAGCAAAGCAGCGGATTTGGGAGTTATGGGTAAATCTCATCGTCCCTTCTCGGATGATAGTCTCGGCCAGATACTCATCGTACCGCTGAGACAGCTTTTGGTAGAGATATCGGTGTAGGGTATCGTTATTCGATGCGTTGTCAGCTGTAATTGTCATAACTTTTTCAGATATATGAAACCTCTCGAGAGCCGTCGCAACGATATTAGCAAGGTTCTCTCCAGAGTGGCTGCCTTCAATTTCAACGAACTCAATACAAGCTCGATATTGCTGGAAGGCAGAGGACATCCAGTGAGCATTAATGGCTAGCATTGGCAATAAATTCTGACTTGTCCAACCATCCAAAGATACCGCAATTGAGGATGCTGAAGACATTAAGATTCGAAGCTCACTGTCAAGAGCATCAAGCCGAAGACATAATCGGTGCGACACAGTATTCGCACTTGGTACGGAGTCCTGAAAGCCTGCAGACCTCAACATAGCCTTGAATGAAGGCTGTTCGACGCATGTAAACGGTTGGCAGGTTGATACAATCCAATTCAAGACAGCTTCTTCGAATGGGAGCTTCTTTTCCTTAGAAATCCATGAGCTTAACGGACCCTGGCACCCTGAATGGCCGTCCTGGAAGAGCTTGTGGGTTTGCTGCAGGTGCTGTTTCAACGCTGTGGTTGGAGATCGCAGTTTCGATGCAAATCGAAAGAATCGGCAGGTGGATGGCGACACAATACACAGGTGTTTAAGCTCGGACCACTCCTTATTTCCTAATCTCCAGGTACCAGATTCAGGTGTAGTAAGGTAGTGTTTCCAAACCCAGCTCCGCTCTTTCGACCTAGTCTCATCTTTCTGCTTGATTTCGACCATATTTACCCCGCATTCGACCTGAGATATTGATTGCGAAGGACGTATATCCGTATCAAGATTTGATAAACTCATAGAGACATCAACTTTGCAATATAAGCTCTGTGCTATTGCCAAAGAATTCCTCTGCGCGAGATGGCACCGGCAACGGCAGGCCAAGCAAGTTGGTCAGCAGTGGTATGTAGCAGCCGTCCGCAACCAGGCGCGAGTACCATATGAGTCTAGGATTGCCTCTCCATCAGTTGTTGTACACCCGGGCCGATCTCAGATACTGTCAGCCTCCAGTGACCAAAGAATATTTGTCCTAGTCGTGGAAGACTAGACAGAGCATCGATATTGGTGATAGCATTGAAGCGTCCATTTAACTCTTTTGAGGTTCACTAATTTCCTGAAGGAATCATCGAGAGGCCCGCTCAAGTTGTTGTTTGTCATCCAAAGACGTTCGAGAGTGACCAAGCGGATAAACTCAACAAACCTATATCTGCGAGTTTACTTTCTGCTGTCCATTCCACCCGTCCCTTCGCTTCTGCCACTTGCCTGAGCATCACCATGTCCCCACGTAGCGCATCGGGCTGGCCAGAATGGGAGGAGGAAAATCTGCTCTCCTAGCTGGATGCCCATTGAGCGCTACCGTGGAAAGCCCGCTCCGACGCACTTTATGAAGAATATCGGGTGGATCGAAGCGTTGAGTCTTTAAGAGGGAAAAAGTACCATGTCCTGCGAAAGCAACGTCACACGACGACAGTGTTGTAATTCAGACGTATTAATTGATTGTTTTCTCAGAGGGAGACATGAGGCTATATATATATACACAGTGAAGGCATCTACTTGCATCATGTATTTCTTCCACGCAGAAAGAACTGGAAGCTTCTTGATCTGCAACAGCCTCATATCTCAACAGACAGCAATCAACCAACTCAAACAAAAAGCTCGAGATCAGGTACGAAATAGCTTTAATCCTTCCAGTATTACAAGCTGATCCTTTGTCACAGACCGCGCGACGCTAGTACCTATCCATTAGCGCTAATGACGCTGATCATGGCCGTTTTCGAAAGGCTCTTTCGCATGCCTTCTCTGCCAACGGGCTCAAAGGACAGGAGCCAATCTTGGCGAGCTATATTAACATACTTTTCAGAATAGAGGATTCGCCGACTCAAACGATTCAATTGATTACACAAGAAAACTATGATATTGTTCGAAATATTTGCATCAAAATTAGTAGTGCGCTGCTGTGCTCGTATATGGACGGCAAAATGGTGAGAGCGATTCGCTGCAATCGCCTAATGGGTACGCAACTGTGGGACAACTGGCCATCCTAAGCTCATAACTGACGAATTTTTGCTTGAAACTAATTTTTTGATTATGAACAAGAAACCACCTATGCAATATGACTTGAATCGCCATTGTTCATGTCCATCAATTCTCATCGTAATTGCACCTGCCAATTGTCATCAGCCCCGCAGACATACGATCACGTCACCATTAGATATCTCGCCGAGGTGATAGGCAGAAAACCATGTGGCTGTCCGAGCCACATAGCAGTCTCCAATGGGGACGAGGAAGCTTCTCGCCGCAAACAGTCGCCCAGCATTCGATAGGCACACCCCACCTTTCCCTTGATAATGTATTCATCCACACCAACACGATGAAAATCTTCGAAAACACATCCACCTACGATTATTCGTTCCCTGCAGTGACTCTCGCCTATTTCCTTCGTTATCCGAATCCCTACTGCCGCCATGTCTTCACTACCGACGTGATCGATCGATACGTCGACCCGAACACACACCGCCTCCACACGACTAGGCTCCACCTGAAAAGGTCCAAGATCCCCTCGGGGATTCTGAGGCTATTGCCGAGGGGAATGGGTGGGCCCGACAACTCCGCTCAGAGTTATATCCTGGAGACCACCGTAGTCGACCCCGTAGAGGGCTGGATGGAGACCAAGTCCCGCAACTTGGAATGGACTGGTATTCTCAGCGTCGTTGAGAAACAGTACTATCAGCGTCTTCTCTCGAGCAAGTATGCTCTTGCTCTAGGTGGGCTCTCAATCGATCAAAAGAGCGAGCGGACCATAGTTTGTACCAATGTGACCTTCCGCTCTAGACTCGGACAAGGCGAATTTCTCAGCCGCAGGAATAGTGCTGATGCGGAAGAAGAGCCGAAGAGAGGGGTCTTGTCTTCCTTGTCCACGGTCGGCATCCAGCGGACTGTTGAATTGATCGGTGTCAAGCGAACTCGGGACGCTGTCTTGAAGGGCAAGCAGGGCATGGACGTCGTTCTGGAGCGGCTGCGCAGTGGTGGGACTGTGTGTGTTCTTGAGGGAATGCGACAGGATCGGGAGGCTGCCTTCGGCTTCGAGGGTGCTTGCAAGCGAGTCTAGTAACAATGAGAAGACGACGACAAATAGGCCGTACGATGTGTCTGTCTCATGTCTTTGTGACTATTTTCTCACTCCAAACCCAACGAAACTTCACCGGCGGTTTCATGGGCCTCATCTAAAAACAGCGCTGGTTTAGGAGAAAACGCGATAGCGGAACTGACCAAATGTCGTTCTTACCCATGAACGCTCAATAATGCTGAGACCTCAGCAAGGTCCATCAACATGGTAGGCTTGAGTATCGCTCGCTTGCAAGGCTGAAACCACACCGTTACAAAGGGCCTGAACTGCTCGCTTTCGATCCCACGATACCAGGGCCTGTTTATCGCAGAGCTGCAGAAGGATGTCGCTGTCGCTTGCTAACCACTCATCTAATTCTTGAAGCTGTCGCTGCTCATCCTCAAGTCGTATTTTCTCGGCAGATTTGACAACGTAGCATTCCCAGAGGGAGAAGTACAAGTCAAGCAGTTTGAGGGCTGGTGTTGCAAGATTGCCATTGTCGTGTTGAAGTTTCATAAACTCCGCCGTAAGGGCACCGGATGTGCTCACTGGGATCTGTGCAGGATTGGTGATTTTGTTCGTTTCCTGCGGAAGAGAGTATGACCGACCTTGGGATCGATGGTTGTGCAGTTTGAAGATTGTTGTGGGTGGTTTTCAAAATTGGGCTCCACCTCTGCATTTTGGGCTACCGAACACTGTCTCTTGGCTGGCCGGTCAATTGGGTAAGGCGAAGTGGGATGGTCCATCGTGGCCTTTGGAATGAAATGGATGAGACGTTGTGCTCGAGAGTCTTTTATAGACCGGCAAAATCCATACCGAGGCTGCTGTGATTGCATCCAAGACCTCCCGGTTCTCATATTCGACCGTGTTTAATAGACCATTATATACGTACCTCAACTGTTGATGCTCGATCTCACATGTTCACCCAAAACAGTGATATGCGGAACCGAGCGACAGGTGAGGCCTTGGAACAAATATTGCAGAAACCATCCCTTAATGGGAGCCTGCAAGTGTAATTTGACGCATTGGATGCTAAACATCAAGTAGAGTTCTTTGAAGTTTAACGTGGCGTTATTGTGACTGCAAATCATCTGAAGCATGGTGATGTAGGTTGTTCGAGTCCAAGTATTGATATCAACTGACGTTGAAAGCAACCAGTCTCGCATTGTATCACGAGAGCTATCTGAAATGAATATCCCTGGCTCTTGCATACCACCAGCCCTTTTCTTTGGCGACGGCACCGTTAGCGATTGGCAAGAATTGTGGTAATCTACCCTGCTCCAAATGCCCTCCAGATGCGATCATTCCTTACTAAATGTAAGGATCTCTTTGAACTGCCATCCTCCAGTCTTCAACACACCACGAGCGCGTTCACAATGGGAATATATGCAAATAAGTTCTTTTCTCGATTTCAAAAGCTTAAGCGAAAGCTTCAACACAAACCCAAAGATTGTCTTCCCAGTGTCAGTCGATCAAAAACTCTCCCTGATAAACCTGCCACCGCTTCTAAATCGGAACGTACACGACGATCAGCGGCCCATTCCCCAGAGATGCCGCCCAACGAAGATAATAGCTCATAAAAGAAGACAAAAAGCACCTCGATATGTTTGCAATCCATTACCCCAAAGGTTCACAAAGCAGACTCAAGTTAAACTCGTCCTCAGTTTCAAAGCCTGCAAGGAGAGTAACGGCAAGAGCCTTCGGGTGGCCATTCCGTGTCAAACCCATCAGGGCACCTCAGTGATCATACGCCATGCACGAATAACCACCTATTGTAGTTGGTAAACTCCATCGTTATAGTATTGCTGGAGGCATGTACCGCCCAGTTGCAGCGGCTTGTCGTCTTGCGAGGTCCGGACAACGGATTGTCACAGCTCTGGCCAACCAAGTGCACACAGGGGTTTGTCGCTAGTGTTCCATCTTTGCCAGGCAGTTTTTTCCGGCAGTATCTTCCGGCATTGGATGAGGAGCTACTGTGGCACACGGCTGTATCAACGCTGTGGTACAACATAACATTCATACTTCTTCCCTAAAAATACATTTTGTTCTCGATATTATAGAGTACTAGTCACTGGGAACATCGCAAATGGCCGACGCATGATCAACAATATCCGCAGGGGCTTGCGACAGCTCGAAAGCGCCCATCCTCTAAACCGTCTCGGTTGGAAACCAGTCTTAAGCCCACCTATAATAGAAGCCTTTCGCGATCGTCGGCTCAAAATACGGGCTTTTATGATTCCGGGATGAGGGCTACATAATGTGGCCAATATTCTGGCGTTTCCTGGTGGGATACTATATATTCTACGACTACTATATAAATGCTAGTTTATATACCCTATTGAGTGATTTCAAAGCCTAATATTCATCTTCGAACACCGACCCCCCTCCGAGCTGGGGTAGCGAATCAAGCCGGAGTTTTACCCTCAAAACCCCTTCTACAGAGAAAGAAGTACGTCGACAGGCTTCATCAATCAAATCTTTACTTCGTACAGGATCTCGAAGTCCACCAAGACCATCGGATCGTGCATTAAACCAACTTGTTAAGGGCTTCCAACTCGTGATACAAGGCGCCACAATTTTAGCGAGAGAAAATAAGGAATTACGCGCTGAAAACGAGAAGAAGCAAAAGCGGACCCGATCCACCAGGCAGATAGGATCACGAAGGGGATCTTTCAGTTCAGGAGGTTCGCGAGATACGTTCAGAGCCATTTGAGACCCAAGTAGCGCGTATTGTCAGTGGTAGATTACCACTAGTGCCTGTTTCAGAGAGGATCCACAGAAAAGGAGCTTACTAAGAAGCAAGCCCCTGAGTTCTAGTATGTATGAAGAACCGACAGACGGATAGACTTAGAAGAGACAGCTGTTTAGTGATAATTCATTGCTACGAACGAGAACTTACCGATTCATCGATCGTCGACACGTATCAATAGGTATCGTGAGCTGCGGCAGATCCCGATCGTTTCGATCACCATCAGCGCCCAAAGATTGGCCAGGCCTTTCTTATTTTAGCCCCCACATAAGAGCCCCAAATGACTGAGCCCCACACAGAGTCAGCCAAAGAGCTCTTTGCTTTCCTGTTGATTTTCTATTACGGACTTTATAGAATATTTCCGGAAATTGATGTTCACCACCTACACACTCTTTGATTGTTTCTCAAACCTTAATACGAAGATACATTCGTCTGTATCAAGAAAAGCTCCGAAATAGCATTATTCCTGTATCGACATCATACGGGGTTTGCCATACTAAAATGAATTTATGACTCATGTTCCAGTAATTTGAAGTTTGAAGGGCAATCCGGAGGAAGCCGGAACCACGAATAAGAATGCAAATTAACCGAACACGAGAGCTAGAGCCTCCCGATCGTGGCAAGCTGTCATATCCCCGTAGTGTCCAAATGATGAGCCATGCGTTTCTTTGACACCAGACAGAACTACACATGATGACATGTCTTCCCCCACAAACCACAGTTCGTGACATAGACGAGTCTGAACCCGGGCGTTATTTACTAGTTCCATATTCGCGAATATTTGCGATATCTTGAATGGTGTTTACGGTTAACCGGGAAACGTACACGCCTACCGTATGCGAAGCTTCTTTTCTGCGTGGCAGTCGAGTTCGATCGTTTATGATGCGCTTTGTGGTAAAGCGAAAACCGGCTTTTGGGGAAACGCTGAGGTGGGCCTCCGGGGCAATTGTTCATCTCAGGCCTTGAGTCCAGATTCGACGACCTGTGGATATTGGCTTCACGACAGCGGCGGTCAAAGATCTCAGTTTCATAGCCGAACTTATCATCGACCAACCCCCTCTGCAATGATAGAATTCGGGTAGGCTTGGTTACAGATACCGGTAGCGAACAGCTCGCTTTATCGCCATTGATTTTCTCCTCAGTCTCAGACATTTTCGCTATCCGTGAAGAGTCCCATAGTGCCATTGACAGAAGGCTGTTTCCTCCGTCGAATCCCCAAAAGTCTGCCTCCCCTTCCGGTCCTTCATCTGATAGGGAGGCTTCTTCGGTCGGGGTGATTGGTAATGGGAAATCGGATTGCAAAGACATGATCAGACGAAGCTTATACTGTATGTGTCATGGAATAATGAGGACCTGATTGTGTTACTTGTTATATGTTGTCACATACAAATTGCTTGCGGAGAGAATCACTTTTAAATAAAGACAGTAAAGGCTCTAGATAAATGCATGCCAGGTTCTCGACTCGTCTCAACAAACAGTGGGTGTATGAAATATCATTGGAGGAAATCTCTCCGAAATACGAGCCGACCACAACAAACTCTAAATAATGGAAGTAGATTGAGATGACAGTCAGATGACAGGCGCAAAATGCGAACTATAAGCCTTGATTTGGTCGGTAGATTGAGGTCATTAAAAGTCGAAAAGCGGTAAAATAAGAGGAGTTGGGGTAGGCCTGAGAATCTGCAAGGTGTCACTTCCCCCTACCACTCCCATGTCGAAGTGACGATCTAGGGGCCTACTCGGTACATACCGGATAGCACAAACAGTGACTCACAATACATGTACCCCCGTCCAAGCTACATCTTATTAGTGATATGATACAAAACCAGTCGCTAACCTGCTCTCAAATGGCCCAGGCGGCCGAATAGAGCGAACAGACGATCAAAAACATTCGCAGGAACCTGCGACTTTTTGGACACGTCCATGCCCCAGACCCGTGTCGGTCGGAGACAAAGCATAACACGGCCGATGTTCATAGCGCTCTGTGACCATCTAATGGCCGGGTCTGTACCTCGATGAGATGGCAGTCTTTCTATGGGATGAATTCCAGATGCTAGCAACCACTGTTGTCGTTCAAAGGTATGAATTGACTTGTTATTTCAGAGGGATACATGAGCCTATATATACAACAATTAGCCAAGTTGATTGGAATTCAACTTGGTCGTCTGTATAGACACTTCGGAGCTAATTCCGACGGTGCGGCTTGGTTCCTGATCTGCACCAGCCTCATATCACAACACTTATCTCTGATCCGGCGGAAATAGGACTCGCCACAATAGTTTTCACGGGTGACCAATAGGCTGCGCCTACGTTGGGATGAAGATGTCAGTGGTGTTCGTTTTTTGGGGCACAATATTTTGCTCAAATAACTGATATAGCGCAGCAGAGGGCGCGATAAATCACTCACATCATCAGGAAGAATGGACATCTCAGGCTTCTATGCAGCGAGCCTCGCAATCGGATATCCGCACCTGTTATTGGCCCGCTCCTTTGTTTTATATTCTTCACCTATAGTAGTGTACGCTGCGTGGTCTGAAGCGACGGGGCCAGGAATGGTGTGTAGGCCATGGCTTTGTGTAGAGCACTAACGGGATGCTGTATTCTCGGGGCCACTCTGGTGCGATGTCAATGGTTCACTGTCATTCATTAGCTTGTATATCGGCGAGATGATCCATGACTCACATGTTCTGGTGGCAAGACTGGGATGAAGAGACGGCAAAGAGTTGCGGTCCTTGCGCTCGTGCATTGTGGTCGAATGTCGGTTCTATTGGAATCGCATCGTCTTCCGGATCAGTAGAATTCAGACAGGTCAGGCTAAGATTAACATACCTGCGACGGGGATATTCGCGCTTTCTCTTGGGAATACACATAGAGGCTGTACAGTAGATCATCTCAGTCGGCTGCTATAGCGGAGACATCTTTGCATAGACACTTGACCAGCTAACCCAAAACTCGTACCTTTGATCGGCTGGCGTGAATGGCAGTGCATCTGGTGGGAATCATATCTTTCACAGGCACTGTCTGACTTTCTGGTCCACGGTGTATTCTATAAATGTCAGTACATTAGAAATTCCAGTACTCGATCAAAGGGGAGAACTTATCAGATGCCTCAGGCACAAGCCTGCTCGACTTTGCAGAGTCAAGTTAATAAATCGTAGAGCAAATTGCCGGGGGTAGAGGACGTATTTATTGACTTCTCGGATCCTTCTGTTGCGCAAGTGCTCTACTTGGTAGAAAGCGTTGAGGGACACCTCTCGTAATTGAGGCCTGCTGAAACCCGTGGCTTCTCTTTACACAATACATCTATCTCGCAACGGGTGTGACGAGTGCAGCAAGCCGGTCAAATGTGACGAAAAGGGACCGTTCATCTTATGTCCAGATGTTGAAACGAGGGGCTTGCTGTTGTTGTTTACACCCCTGCTTTAGCCAACTTACTAGCCTCGGTAAATCTACTGCCGATCAATTCATATTTCGTCATCTCATACCTTCACTGTTATTATTCATCCCGTGTTTTGATTTGGACACAGCCAATTCCAAACTTCTCGTCCAGACCACCAAGCCCGTTATTATGACCTCAGGATTCCAAAATTGCCACTTTAGAGAGGAGAGCTCCAGTTTCCTCGGCAATGATACTTCTCAGTCAAAAGCCTCTTATGTTAACACGGAGGCTTCTCCATGCCCAATACCTTCGGTTTATGCGACTTTCATAAGAAGCAGCGCAACTATCACGCAAAGCGCCATTAATCATCCCTTCACACCAATGATCTATGATATTTTTTCTCTATATCTCATTTGCTTCTAGCTCCAATCCGCTGTCCAATTATGGTCTGTTTCAATTCGTTCTTACTGAGTTTACCGATGAGCTAACACATTACAGCCAAACATCAGAGACCTGCCCAACGAGCTTTTGCTGTGGATTGTGTCGCATTTGGACGGCAGTGCATTATTTGCCCTCGCATCATCATGCAAAGACCTTGATTTTAGACTACAGCCCAGCATCTGGAAATACAAAGTCACATTTGAGAACAGCAATCTGCTGCACCTGGCCGTCAAATACGACAACGTTGGTCTTGCGGAGGCTTTACTCCAGCACAACGCCAACATCAATGCCGTTTACTGAGGGAAAACTCCTTTGATGAGGGCGTTTCAATACTCCTCCACTGCAATGCGTGAGCTCTTGCTCAATCGTCGAGAGCTAGACATCAACATTCAAAATCAAGCGCGCGAGAGCGCCCTGTGGTATGCCATCCACTACGGAACTTTTTCCACCGTCAAGAGCGTTCTAGAACAGCCCAACGTCAGAGTGGACGTCAAACACAAACACGGCCGAACGGCGCTCCACCTAGCGGTCTTCGCAGGCAGAATAGGATTCGTGCATCTGCTACTTTCTAGTGGCAGCGACCCTGATCTACAGGATGATTCAGGCCACTCGCCACGGGCCTGGGCACGTCACTTCAATCGTCCCGCGATGAAAATGGTATTTTTTAACGATCCCGACTCCGAGGTATTTCTTGGTACTCAATCATCACAGGATGCTGAGCTACCGCTTCATCAAGCAGTGTCCCATGGGTCGATAGATGCTGTCAAGCGGCTTCTTAGACAAAAGGGTCTGAACTTAGACATCCAGAACCGGAAAGGCTATACGCCGCTCCATCTCGCCGTTCAAAACAGACGCCTGGAAGTGGTCGATTTGCTCCTAAGTCACCCCCGTGCCAACGTGAACTGCAAAGACAAGGATGGCAATACGCCACTTTGGCTGTCTACTTACTCGTCATGCGACGAGATAACCGAAAGGCTGTTGGCCGAGAAAGACATCAACGTTAATTTTGTTGGAGGCTGCGGGAGACTCGAGACGCCGTCTACACCTCTACACCACGCCGCGACCAGATTGGATACCGTGCTCCTATGACGGCTCCTTGCGGTGCCAGGGATCGATCCGAATCTCGGTGTTGCAGGCCACTCTCCAATTTCTGTTGCCGCATATCACGGACGCATGAACACGGTTGCTTGTCTGTTGAGTATGGAGGGCGTGGAGATCAATGGGAGGGGTTCAATCGATCCACCGATATGTCGAGCGGCCGCACACGGCCATCACGATGTGGTCAGGCTATTAGTGCAACAAGGCACACGTCTGAACATCAATGAAAGCACGATCGCATGTCACGACACTGCAATCTTCATTGCTGCCCGTGGTGGTGACTTGGAGATGGTCCAGGCACTATTACGCCATGGGGAAATTGATGTCAACCTCCTGAATCGATGGTTTGAGGATCCATTGATGTTGGCAGTCAAGGGTGGACATGTCTCGATTGTTGATGCAATATATCAAACAGCAAGACATTAGCTACTTCTCTCTAGTAAGCTTTGTCAGATAATATCATTATTACCCGAATACCATGTTTTGCCCACGTTATCTAGCTTAGCCTAAATCAGCTTCTTACTCGGATTAAGGCGGTTCTATTGAATGAATCAGCTGGAATAAAGCGGACGGAGAAGCAGTCAAGGCTGGCCTAAGAAAATGGGAAGCAATGTCAGATCTCCTCTATATTCAACAAAGTCCGTTATCTTGCGATTTACGTTAATATAAGTCCCTAGCGCTAAGAGATATTTTATAACCTTTAGACAATAAATATTAGCTAACAAAAGTTGGGGTGTCCCTATCAATCCCCCAGACCCGCCCTGATTGCCGGTGGCACCGAAAACAACGAGGACTTGGTTATCGTATTGAGGCTTTCAAACGTGCGATGTAGTGATAGTCAAAACTGTAAGTGATGTCTGGAATGGTTTGATTTGTTGTATTGAAACACCGCCTCTTACTTACAGGTGTTAAAAACATTATATACCTGCAAAGGAAATTGAAGAGGGAATACTCCCGACGGGAGTAACTTTCCTTAAGTCCGGGAAGGCGCGACGCTGAAAACAGCACCATCGGATACGTAGAGACCGCAAACGGGGCTTACTGCTTTAACTCCGGGTATAGCCCGACACCGAAGAAACACTTGGTCGCGCCAACATTTCGAGCTTGCTTAACTTTGGTGATATTTATAGTACAAATGAGATTTGTATCTAGAAAAGAAGCAAACACAGTGATATCATTATCTCCGATAAATTCCCGAAGTCAAGATTTACCTCCTGCAAGGAGGCATGAGTACGATGTTGAGATTAATGGCCCACTCTCAGATGAAAAGCTTTTCATAAGATGCTGTGCTATTTATGTATGGCAGGCGGCTCGCCCCTAGCCACATAGGAATGGTTAGGCTGAGAGGCTCAGGTTAGGGTGTCATCCTAGGAGTGGTTAATGTTCTCGC